GATCAGGGAGATGGCTGTTAAAACCGGGCAAATTCAGATAAATGCTGAGACTTTTTTTTATTGTGGTCAGTGGGCACCAGGGCAGCTTATTATGGGCTGTAAACTGAGTTCGCCTTCACTGCCGGTAACTCCAGTGCGGGTGTTGTCCTACAAAGCGGGGTCTTGTGCGCCGGCGCGCTGGGCAGCGGGGATGCTCTGCAGCCTGGGGAGATGGCTGTTAAAACCGGGCAAATTCAGATAAATGCTGAGACTTTTTTTTATTGTGGTCAGTGGGCACCAGGGCAGCTTATTATGGGCTGTAAACTGAGTTCGCCTTCACTGCCGGTAACTCCAGTGCGGGTGTTGTCCTACAAAGCGGGGTCTTGTGCGCCGGCGCGCTGGGCAGCGGGGATGCTCTGCAGCCTGCGCGTGTCACCGCAGGTTAAATAGGTCCTTGAAAATACGGGAACCTGAGTTCAGGCAACTGGAGAGGAAAAGCGCTCGAGCGCATGGGTTATCAGCAGGGCTGTCTCATTCCCCGTGTCCATGTAAGAGACTCACTCTGGTATGGAATTAAACTGTTCGGAGTTACCGTCTCCAAAACTCGGTGTGTGTCAAAGGCCTTGCCCTGGCTTGTTGGCCAGGTCAGAGCCCAAGGTCTGGCCCCCTCCACCGCTCAGCCCTCACCTTAACACCTCCTCTAATCACAGCAGCAGGTCCTGTCTCCCAAACTTAACACAAGTGGAAACCTCACACTAAAATCCAGGTTTTTCTAACCAGCCAGCCTGCCACAAAAACCCCACATGCTAATGTCCAGCTGAGGTTCAAGAGCAAGGTGGGCTCCAGCCCGTCCCCACCTTGTCACTCCAACGCTCAGGGGTGACAGCGGCCACCTGGAACTCCCCATGCTCCAAACACCTTGTGGCCTCTCTGCCCTTTCTTCCCCCATGAGATCTCATATTGCAGACCCCCAAGTTTCAAGCATAGCTCAACGCGATTGCATTTTGACTGCGTCCCACGGCTGCGGTAGCTGCCCCGTGGTGAGCGGCAGGAGAGGTTGGCTCTGCATGAGCAGAGGAAAGATGAATTGGCCCATTTGCCAACGCACAGCGGTCATCCAGGAATGGTGGATCTGAAGGGAAGGGGCCAGGAGGGCTGTAAGGTGGGTGACCTGGAAGGGGGAGGACACTGTGTGATAAACCGCATGTTACAACCCTGAAGTTCATGCGAGCCTTAATGACCACAGAGGCCCTGGGCTGTTCCCATCAGCACACTGAGGTCACCTCGTGCAATTAGGGGCGGAGAGAAACAAAGATTGCCACACAGTTTTCATCCATTATAAACCCATTTTAAATGCTATCCGTTATGTAAGTGTGGTGTGACACAAATGGGCTCTCCTCTTATTCATGATGGCACCAGAGAGGCATTGAAGTGCCTCAGTTCTCTTGAACAACAGGGAACCTTGTTGAAACAGATATTCCCAGCTCAGCAGAGCACAGAAGCATCTTTAAACTGAAAACAATATATCACTTTACCAAAAACAATCTAGTTATGTTTTCCCAGAATAAAAGCATTTTCCAAAAACACCTCCCCTAGAGCTAAGGGACTTCTGTGATAACCCCATTTATCGTACCTTGGCAGAGCTTTGCTATAAGCCACAAACACAGAGGCAGCTCCTTTTCCTGCAGACAAGTCCATCTCCAAAAGAAGGTTTTGGGTGCTCCACCTAAGCTGAGCCTTCACGGACTGGAGTGTGGGCTGGGCTGGTTTGGTTCACCTGCAATGGACATGAAGCTGTGCTGTGTCCCCCATCACACCATGTCTGGATGGCTTCACCTTGGGCTTTGTACAGTCAGCACGCCTGGGGACTCCTTTGAGTTCAGCCTTTTCAGAGAATTAATCAAAAGGCAAACCAAACAATCCAAAACGAGGTGTCCCAGTTTCATCCCATCTCCCTCCCACCCCACAGGAGCCAAAGGATCCCCAAACTGGGATCACCAGTCTGGATGCTCAGCCCCAGCCACCTCTCGTTGCTGGCAGAGGCACGCAACCTCTGCTCTGGGGCTCAAAATTTGCAATTTCTGTCATAGAGGTCTGAGTTCAAATATGTTTCCTCCAGTCATTTGCAAGGATAATAAAGAAAAGGTCAGGGGATGCCAGAGCTGAACATTAACCTAGTCTCCAGCAAGGAGAAGCTGCAGATGAAATAAAAGTCAGCTTATAAAATTAAGTAGGTAAGAGCGCCTTGACGGAATCTTCCACTAACAGGCCCAAAAACACTGCTTTACAATTACCTATCTCCTGGGAGAGAGAAAATAAATCCTCCTAGAATCAGTAACTCCAATATCTGCCATTTACACGGCAGAAAAAAAACCACAAGAGCCAACAGGTAACATACAGTACTCTGGTATCTTCTTGCCACTAGAAATTTATACTGTAAATAAACACCGAAACGCAGTATGTGTCTCCAGGCAGAACCCGGCATGGTCCTAGACCCAGGACCTCAGGCGACCTGCCCTGTAGCAGCACGTCCTGGCCCGGACACTGGAGAGGACCATAAAGTCCTCCCAGACTTTCTCCCAGCATCTCCTGGAAATTGGTGCTAACTCTGTTATTTAACGGACAAGAGATGCTGGTGTTAACCAAGCGGCCCCTCGCGAGGGGCAGTGCCTATTTTTTGTGCAATCTTGGCGTGATTTCCCCGTCTGAAGGGAGTCCAACCTGGGGTGCAGGAGGGGTGCTGGGGCAGGCGCTGAGCATGTTCCTCTCCAGCCCGGCTCAGCAGAATAGCGCAATCAGAGCTGGCGCCGCTCAACGCGTCTCCGCGATTGCACCCTTCCAGCCAAATTCCTGGCGAGCAACTGTTCTCCCAGCTCTGCGTCCCTTCAAACCTTCAATTAAATCAGTTATAAATAGCGAGAACACCCTCCACCCTAACCCTGCTGCTGCCAAAGCTTCGAGTCAGCAGGTTCTCACCAGCCCCTTCCCCATCCTGCTGAGACGCTGAGGCTGGAAGCCTCCCGGGTACCTACTGGCAGCGATGACATCTCTTCGCTGGCTGCTTCTCACTAGGCTGAGCATGAAACAATATCGTGACCATTGAGAGACTCGGCTGCCAACTTCCCTCCTCCCAGTATCCCCCTGCCCTACAATCTTGATCCCAGGTCACTTTATAACCCCTCTATAAATATCCCACGTAGGTGGCAGCGTGCCCACGTAAAGTCCAGATCTAACTCTGCTATCTTATCAAATTAACTTAGGAGACTGCTCTGATGGGAGTGAACTTCAGTAAAGCCAGGTTGAGTGAGAGCTTCTTCGCCCTTGACTCGTATGGCTTTGATCAGCCTTCCCTTCCCCGGACAACTGTTTGCAGCTTCAGATAGCTTTTGTCTTTTTGGTCTAAAAAAAAACCGTGTCCCTATTATAGTAAAACACCACGCGCTTTACTGCACTGCAGCAGCCTCATCTCTGGGACCCCCAAAGCGTGGTGACCTCCCCCCCATGCAGCAAACTCCCCCGGGCTGCTCCTCCCTGCCAGTCCCTGCCACGCGGGGGGCTGTGAGCTGGAGGAGGGGCGAGCTGGGAGGGACGAGGTGGATGAGGACTCTCCATCCTCCTTTCTAAGAGCCCAAGCTCACCGCAGCAGCGGTGACCCTCCTATGGCCGATGGGGCGATGCCACTACGGAATGGGTCGGCAGCGGTGAGGGGAGGTGAGCTGAGATACCAGCTCAGCTGTGGGCACGGCGGGTCTCATCACCAGGAAATATAGCTATAGGAATGTGCGATGGCCAAAGAGAGAATGAGCAAAATTATCTGTACTTCGTGTTTTAAATAGATGAGCAATCCATGTGAAAAGCTCGTGGAGAAAGCAGCCCACAAAAGGTATCAGAGGGGGCTTCAGCCTTGTCCATGCTGGAGCCGGTGGCCGGGCACGTGCATGCCGCTCATCTGCTCCCAAATAAAACAGATCCAACTCCAGTTTCTCTGTGCTACCAAGGGTAGGGAACATTAAAAACATTGCAAGTTTGATATATCAATAAAAAGCAAATTCAGTTTTACTACATTTTATCAGAGATTTCCAAGCACATTCAATTTCCTTTCCTCTTTCAGAGCACAACTGCTCCTACTTCAAGCACTTCACACCAGGACAGAGCTCGGAGATATTTGAAGTAACCACCCAGAAAGGTAAGAATGATCCTGAAAAATATTTTGCTAACTGAGGTGCACACAAGATCTAAGGTAAAGGGGCCCCCAAAATGAGGGTTCAATCCTGGTTCCGCTGAAAGCAGTAGAGGAATTTCTACCAGATACCACCAGCTGGGAAAAATTTAAAAAAAAAAAAAAAATGCTCTGAAGAAGGTCAAATGCCAACTTCCTCGGAAGAATAATTTTTTTATACGATCACACTCATAAGTGTGATTTTACTCAAAGTTGCCCCACAAATATATAACGATGTCAATACACACGAAAACTGCAAAAAAATCTTTTCAGCATAAAAATGACTTTACAACGTCAGCACTAGCCGTGACACTCGGAGCCTTTGCCGTCGAAGGAAGAGGACATTAATAAAATCTAAATGAATAAATCATACCCCAGGCAGAGGCTTGACCCTGAAAAGAAGCACAGAGACTCTGTGAAGACCATTAGGAATTTCATGCTTCATATTGATTTTACATGAAAGTCATGTAAAAACCAGAGCTCTCACTGGAAGGACGGAACAGAGATCCTACAAAGACACGCGCAGTCAGTGTTTACAGAGTGTGGATTTTGAAAAGAGTCTTTCACAGACAAATTTCACATTTTTAATAAGTCCCTGATAGAGCCACATTTTTTTAGCACTCATCTAACGTGCTCCTCTCTCTTTCTCGCCCTCTCATTAAGGACAAATTCCTTTCTAGTTTGCCACACAACGTATTTTGCTGCAGAGTAAATGAGCCGATGATTACATTACACATATTAAACAATCTGCTTTGCTTCCAGCGGAAATTATAACGGCGGAAAACTCTGCTCACAGGTTTTCTAAAAAAAGCAGTTTCCTAAGACAGGAATGACTGGGAATTTTAAGTGGATAGAAGAGCATGTATCTGAGCTACCTGCTTTTGCTCATTTATATACTATCTGTTCCAGCCATCTGACGTTAAAAACATACCCAAAGCCTTCTTAGTCATTTCAGAAAAAAGAATCAGGGAGACCTTCTTTTCTTTGAAGTAAAAGAAAAAGCTTAAGCCTCAGCAAAATATTTTACATCGAAACGAACTCTTTCAGGCAGTTCTAGCACAGAGTAAAGAGAAACATTAAGGAAATTATAATAAAACAGTGGTATGAAAAGCAACGAGAACAAAGAGCCATCGGAGAAATAGGTACGTTTTGATGGGAGCTAATTAGTAACAGGCAAAAAAATGCTTCATGATTTTGCCTGGGAGATACTTTGTTTTAAATGGCTTGAAAGGCAAATATCATCAGGCACTGTGATGTTCACGCATGGCTACATGTGTTAAATATTAAACTAATCTGAAAACGAACGCAATATGTAAATGAAGGCCTGAATCATTCAATTAGCAATTCTTCCCCTCCATTCAGGCACTGAACTGTGCTTCAGCTGGAGGAAGTGTCCAGCGCACATCTTAGCTGGCTTAGCGAAAACCAGGACGTTTTATGGAGGTTTTAATCCTATGCCCTAAAGAAGCTGGGTTTTCACAGAGCTGGAAATCATTGTCTTAAAGAAATTAAAAAAAAAAAGCTGCTATGCAAACACTTCACCTCTGGCCTCCCGCCTGCTTTGCCTGCTCGGATTTTGAGCCCTGCGGAGCGTACAGCTGTCTTTCCGCATCGGCACAACATCGGCACCACGCGCGGGGGCCTTGTCGGGGCTCTGCAGTACAGACCTGGAATAAAAATAGCAGAGAGTTGTCTATTTACTCTGAGAGCGGAGTGTGGAGCGACGGAAGAAATGAGAGCGGGGAGCCCAGTAAGGCTTCAACAATAACACCTCGGCGGCAGAGTTAAAACGACTCCAGCCCCGAGCTTCATCAGACGATTACGGGTGCCATTTGCTCTTTCAGGAGGTGTTCAGAAAGTGTTTCCCCCTCCTGCTCTGTTTTTATACCCTTTGTATTCAAAAGAGACAAGGCCACTACTTGCCCCTGCTTTTATTTGAGGAAACTATTCAATTCACCAGAGCCACCTCTCCACAGCCGTGGGAGGATACGTGTTTCTCGGAGTGACCTCCTGCAAAGTCACAACGGCTGATGGGAGCGTGCTCAAAATTTGCAGACATTTGCATTTTTTTGGTGTTTGTTTTGCTTTGGCAGAATACAGCATTTCAGCTGCAGCTATTGCCATCTTCAGCGTTGGCTTTGCAATCATCGGAACAATCTGCGTCCTCTTATCCTTCAGGAAGAAGAGGGACTATCTGCTGAAGCCAGCATCCATGTTCTACACCTTCGCAGGTAAGGAGGCTCGGCGCTCACATACTTGCACTCAGTTCATAGGACAACGCAGGGAAACTTAGATAGATCCTGGGAGGATGGAGACGCTTCTAAAAATGCCCCGAAAGTGGCATTTTCTTCCCAGCCACAGTCAGACAACAAGCCCCTATGTGGTGCTCCAGCTCAAGAGCTCTGAAAATGTCCTGCTCAGCAAGCATTACCCAGCAGGTCGTCTGTATTTTCTCCAGCTACCTTTAAAAGGGACATTTCTAACATAGTCAGTTCTGGCCCCAGTCTAAACCAGGGATATAGACTATTCTCTCTCATTAATTAAGACTCAAACCAAGAAACAGCTGATCCAGGCCCAAAATCCACAGCTGTCTCCAAAAACACAAAGACTACATTTTCACAGGAGCTAGCAATACCTTGACACACCACAATGACTGAAAGACAGAGGTGCAAATTGTCACCTCAATAAAACTCTTATTCAACCTTCGGAAAAGCTCCTTAGGGAATGCAATTATTCCTCCACCACTTTGAGCTTCCCATCCAAGCCTGCCTAAAAGATCACACCCAGCAAGTCACCGGCTGACTCGGGTGGCCTGGGTTGTAGCAGAGCTCTGAGCAGTTGCAAGCGTTGGTTCCTTCAAACGGTCAATGACTCACCTGTGAATCTCACTGCAACTCCCGTACGCAAAAAGACAGATGAGGTGGTTAATAAAGGATGAAAAATTGCTGGTTATTCATCCCACTGCTCCTATCTTCCTTCAGGTCTCTGCATCATCATCTCTGTTGAAGTCATGAGGCAATCCGTGAAGAGGATGATCGACAGCGAGGAGACAGTCTGGATTGAGTACAGTTACTCCTGGTCCTTCGCCTGTGCCTGCGCCTCCTTCGTCCTGCTCTTCATCTGCGGCATCGCCCTCCTCCTGATCGCGCTGCCCCGCTTCCCCCAGAACCCCTGGGAGACCTGCATGGATGCAGAACCGGAGCACTGATGTTCCCAGCACCCATGAAAAAACCCCACAGAAAGCGTTCTGAAAAGATTTGTATTTTTTAAAACGTCTGGCTCTCACTATACAACGTGCACTCCATTAACTAAGTCATTACTGAAGCAAGGCATGTTCAATTGTAATTATTGCTTTGTTTCTTTTTTCCTTTTTCTTCCCCCCCCCCTTTTTTTTTTTTTTTTTTTCTTTTTTTAAAGAGAGCAGAAAGGGCATTCAGCACCAGGGTGGGTCGTGGGTGAATGGCACTGCTCCGTGCCAACCTAGGGATGCCTTGGGCTGATGCAGTTGGGGGAAAATCTGCGTGTGAGACAGCTCGTGCCACAGAGAAGACAGTTTTCTTGGGGAGAAGGTGTGTGGTGTAGTTAGGCTTAAAGAGCAGATCCGTGAGGGATATCGGGCTTTTACACCTCACTTGGTCAGAGAGAGACAGTGAGAAATTCTAGGTCCATGCAGAATCCGTTTCCCCATTCATGCCATACTCCTCTACCTGCCGAGGAAGGGTTAGCTCACCACTCTGGAATAAATTGGAGATCTTTACACTGTTCTATTAAAATATTAAAATTAAAAATAAATTTAAAAAATACTTTGCCTAGTATTGGGATAAAAATTTCTCCTACAAATTTACACCCTGCAGTTCCATCCTTTTGAATTAAGCACAAAAAATCCACAAGATATAGTTTCTGTTCTGCTTAAACTTTGATGGCAAAGCCAAGAAGTACTAAACATTAAGAGTGATATTTTCCTTTAATAAAAAGCATAATCTTCCAGTAGCATGATTTTCTGGAAAATGATTTTGATGGATGAATCACCTGGCCCATCAAATTCGCTAGGTCCAGAATGACCGTGTAATTCTGGATGGTATATACTGTACAGAGCTCTTATTTGTTCCTTGTGAATGGGCTTTTTAAGAATACTGTCCTTTGCTCACTGCATACGTGTATAAAACTACATTTTAGGAAAAATCCTTCAAGGTAGCTGCCAAGAAGGAAAGGACTTCGAAACACCCAGGGGAGTCAGCCCCAAAAATACTACAAAGGCACATCGTTGTTTATGCATCCTTGAAGAAACGTACAGCCGGGGCATCGCCGATGGGGGATGCTGCGGAGGCTGGCTGCGTCGCAGAGCCCCCGAGTGCTCTGCCGCGGCCGCCTGCAGCCCTGGGGGGGACAGGGGGTCCCCGAGCCCCACAGGCTCACCCAGCCCCTCCGGCCGAGCCCTTTGCACCATCACAGTTTCCCAGCACCAGAAGGTAGGTGTCTTATTTTTACAGTTCAATTTTCAGAATTTGCTCAGCGCTTCCCCCTCAAGTAGGGAAAAAAAAAAAAAAAAAAAGTGTGTGTTTTACATCACAGTTTTTTCACCTGATAATTTAAAAGGCAGGAGAAAAGGAAACCGAAGTGTCCTTCCCGCCGCACTGACCTGTCCACAGTTCTAAAGAAAAACAGACAGAATTCAAAACAGAAAATTTCTAATCATTTTGAAGAAATCGTGACACGTTCAAACATTTCAAGAAATTACCCGGCAGTTTTGTGCTGGTGCGAGGGGTTGCCCACTGCCATCGGCCAGACCCCCTCCGGGCGCGCTGAGCCCCAGCAGCCCCCAGCCAGACGCCGGCACGTCTCCATCTTCCCATCAGTAGAGCGGCAGCGAGAACAGAAGCCTTTTGTGAAGTTGCGTTAATATTTTTCAAGCTCTTTGAAGTTGAAAAGCACTACAAATAACACGTATATTATAAAGTTTTGGGATAAAGCGTTCATTGGTGCTCAGATCTGAGTATGAGCTGGGGAACTCTGCCTGTCTCTCATCATGAGAGACAACTGCGAGTCTTCAAGTTGTCACTGAACCACTGTGAAATGCTAAATGGTTTTGAAATCTTATTTTTGGGTACAGAGCTGACATTCTTAATTTGCATTTCCATTGTTTGGGAAAACAGAGGCTAAGTTTCTAGGGAAATCTGTTACACGTGACAACAGAAACGGAAGTAGTTGGTGTGACCCCTGCGGTGGCTGACCCCAGGTTGGGACACCCAAACACACGCAACGTAGATTAATCTAAGCTAAGCACAAAGGCACTCCCAGCTCAGCCATCATCATCAAAATGACCTCACCTTGGACATGCAATGGGTTGAGATAAGCAAGGTTTGGGGGCATGGGTCTACATTCTTCACCCCATGTGGCCCGGTGGCACGTCCTGTGGCCCTGGGAAGCCCTTTGCCCACACCTTTTCTGAAGCACCATCCCTCTCTTGCAATGCTGCTTCTGTGACAAAGTAATTTCTAGGTGGCTTCTTATCCCAATGGGCCAACTTGTTGCCCAGCCAAGGAGCTGCTTACTCCCCCTTCGTGACAGTCATGAGCAAGAACGTACATATTTCAGATAAACAGACCCCAGAAGGTCTGTGCGCGCTCCCGCTTATGTCAGGGCTGACCCACGTCGTCCAAGCCACAGTGAGGGCAATGGAAAGATTCCCAACTGGGGTTTGGCCTGGATCCAGAGGTTTTACAGCCTCTCTGTGCTCACTTTACTCATGGGGCAGAGAAAACACCCAGCTCACGGCAGCGAGACCCTACACCCGCAGGCAGCAACTCAGACAGCTGAGCTAGATGCCTCCTAAAGCTCTTGAACTCGCTGAGCTTTATTGTCTGTCTGCTGCAAGTTGGTCTCTCCAAGACTGAGAAGCATGCAGATGACTTCATTTTCTTTTTCCAGATATTAAGAAATGCTGATGAGGGACCCATCCATTAAATTGGTCATTGGTATTCACAGTGGGACAGGCACGGCTCTTACAGCAGGTTTGTTCTGCCATATCCAAATCTCTCTGCCAGGGAGCCAATAACGAGTTTTGAGAGAGTTAATAAAAGTATAAGAAGAATATAATGTTGGGGGGGCAGCTGTAATGAGTTTGAGTTTTCATTCTCTCGGCTAAGCAAATAGCAAGGAACGGCCACCAGAACTGCAGGAACGTAGCATGAAAACGTGAAAGAAATGTCCTCGCTGGCAGGGAGTCGTCAGAGCAAAACAGGGGTGGGAACCCGGCTGCTCCACAAGCAACAGGAGCACACGCGGGTTTGGGAGGTGGCCTAAGAACCGAGTGGGAAACACACACCAGGGAAAGGAAGAGGCATTTATTCGCAGAACAAGTAACTACCACCAGCCACCATGAAATCCCAAACGTCCTGCCACCACCAGACCCATGGACACCTTTGGTCATGGGTCACCTGGGCACGGGCCATTTGTCACTCCGTAAACCAACATCCCTGCCGGTCCCCTCCTCAGGGCACCCACACCGAGGTGCCCCGGGCATCGCACATGACACGGTATTGCGAGATTTCGGTTGCTGAAGTCTGCCCACCACACCGCAAAACCCAAGTGTTAAATCACAGAGTCAACGCAACAGAAGACGTGAAGTTTTTTGTTTATGGAAGACTAAGATTTGCTGTTAGGCACCAGGCGCGGAGAGAATCTGCTTCCCTTCTTTTTAAATGCTGTGTTGTGTGAATTTAATGTGCAGAAAAGGTGCCAGACTAACAACCCTGAAGAACAAAATTGCCTGTTTAGCAAGCAGCTAGCTGAGCGCTCAGAACAGCCTTTATCTGCAAAGCGGTACCGCAGCCGGGCCGGGGAGGAAGAGCTCGCCCGGAGCTCACAGGTCACCCAGGTTTATAGCACACAGGGGTGCAGAGATGGGTGCGTGCAGCAAGGGAAAGGGACATTCAGAAATGTCGGTACAAAAGCCTACTTTTCCCTTAGCGCATGCCTGAAAAGTGCCAGCATATGCACGATGCTCGGGTGTTTGACCAGCCCGACGTGGTTCAGAAAGGCACAGGTATACTTACTTACCTTTTTTTTTCACTGATCCCTTTCCACTCTGTCGCTTCCTTGTAGCCATCACCTCTTTTTTCTCCTTACTTTGACAGTTGTGGAAATTACTTCCAGAAGGTCCGAAAGATCTGAGAATTTTTGCCCCCCTGCCCCCAATATGATCCTTGGCCCCGCTGCAGAAGGACATTTTCTCTCCCGGGCTTGAGGAACATACCCAGTGCAAGAGGCCACCAACGTCCAGAGACGGCTGTTTGCCACGCTACAACCTGCCAGCCCCAGGGAGGGCCTTGGGATTAACACCGAGCCCTTGGGCTGGATCCAGTGCGCTCCAGTTGGACATTTGCATGCCAGGAACCTGACCAACGTGCAGAAACTGTTTATAGCAGAAACCTCATTTTAAACTTCACTTAAAATAAACTTCTGCTTTCCGTGGTGGGACAGTGCCCCTTTGAATGTTATATTATTTTTATAACTTAAATACTGGAGTATTAGGCTGCTCTGTACCACAAATTACACTCACAGCAACAGGATCTGTTTTAAAGGCATCTACTCAAATTATTTCCATTATCACCATAGGGCAAGAAAAGAGCGTCACGTCTTTGTTTTGACTGAAGTAGAGGATGAGACTGTTCTTGCTTTGTCATCCTTGATCGATGTTCTGGCTCCAGCAAAGCTATTGAACATAAATTCAAGCCATACATACATCACATATGCACGCTGCATCTAGACACACAGTGAGCCACTTTTCTGCTTTCTACGCAGAAATGTAGAGAAGGGAATAAACTCCCATTTCTGGCCTACTTTCTTTTTAATAGAACCAGCAGCACAAGCCTGTTTCGGCAGGGCTGCACCCCAGGGCTCTGGTTCAGTTTTGCGCCCACTGCCACTGATGTCACTGAGGACACCGCGATGGCTCTCAGCAGGTCTTGTGAAAGTATTTGCCCTTCAGGAGGGAGCAAGTCTTACAGAAAATGGACTGACAACATCTTCTAACTGGTCTCGGATAATTCAGATCACAGAGCATTTTCTGTAATTTATCAGAAGCATCTATTAATCCTTAATGAGGTAAAACCTTTTCAACATTTCTGAACTAAAGCTAAAGTTGCCAAAACCCCCACACCGAACGGACATTTCCACCACATCTGCTGTAAATCCTTTTACTTTACTTGAATGAAAGAAAAGAGCTTAGAATGATTCAATCCTTGTTCCCTGACACAACCAACAAACAGATACTGGTGCAAGTATTGCTGTACCGACAGAAATAGCCCGTATTTCATGTCAAGGAATACAACGTGCAAAT